TCACCTTTAGTTAGGCAATTAACCTCTGAAGATGCAGAGCCCAACTCGACCAGCTGTCTAGTGGTGTGGCTGTGGACACATCTGACACACTTGAAACACCATTTCCTCTCTGCAGTGCTTCCACCACCTTGATTTTCTGCTCCATTGTAATTGCTTGCCTTGATTTCATGGTTTTTGGGGTAGTTAATGATGTAGTAGCTGGCCTCTTGGACATAGTGGTGATGGTTGATACACGTGGTAGAAGGAGAGTGTCACACAATATGTCCGTTCACTAGAGCGTCAGTGAGAGAACTGAGGGTGCCTGAGGGTAGCAGGCAGCCATTTAGTGTGCCCAGAGACGCATCTGATGGGAAACATTAGGCGCGAAATTTAAAATAGTGTGTATTTCCATGTGATGCGCCAGATTGAATCGTGTAAAATAGGAAAGATTTGCTTTAAATTAATACATTAAACCTTAATTGTAGGTGTCACTTTAAATCAATAATTTTAAATTGAATCGCTTTAAATCAACGTTCTACTGTAAATGCTAACTAATGTAACAACTAATCACGTAGCAAAAAAAGTTGTTGTGATCTTATGTCCACTGAATTCAACCAGGCTGACCAAGTCTAAATGTTATCAACATGGGAAGACAAAGCCTCAAAATTCTAAAACAGTAATTCCACAACCTATTTGCCGAATTGGTTTGACAATTAACCTATATTTGGCTTGGGTTGTTACAGCAGTCACCCAGTGTGCTCTGTAAATTTATATCTGACTCAAGACCAAATATAAAAATGAAAATTATTTGGGGTAGGTTAAATCAGGTTGTGACCCCACTGTCACCAGCAAGGAGCCACTCCATAATGACCCTTCTCATGGCCAGATATTCAAAATCACTTGACACCTATACATAATAAAAGAGGAGAGATAATACAGAACCAAAACACTCACCATGGAACATGCCCACCCAACTAACCTCTTACCGTGGAATAGGCAAAGTGAATCCTGGGAAACGACTATGGTTAAGCAGAACCCTCTCTCATCTCTACACCACAGAAGAAAACTGAGATAAAGTAATTGGAACTAATCTCCATTTGGAAGGCAATGCTCTTCCCAGACAGGACATATGCCATACTGCTAAGCTCCCAACAACAACCTTGGCAACCACTACACAGGACAGCATTAATTCTAGGATGAACACTTCCATTAACTTTCTTTAAGGGATGACCCATGTGATACTGTGTTTCTGCAGAAACAACCAGTTATCAATAAGCAACCAGCATAGGGCCCTCTGTCTTACTCAAGCTGTTATACAAATTCAACATAGAGGGGGGTCAAGAGCCCTATGTTTTTTTTACAAAGGAATGGAGCTTGACATTGCACTAAGCATCTGCCCATATAACCTTCCTCTAAAGAATTGCAATGTCTTCCTCACAAGTTGTAGAAAGAAAGCTCTTAGTTTCCCAAGAGAACTGCCAAGACTCACTTCCCAATACAGTGATCCCTCGGTTAATGAACGCCTCGGTTAACGAAATTTCGGTTAACGAATTACCTTCCATAAGAATCTTCAATTTGGTTAACGAAAAAAATTCGGTTAACGAATTCCTTACAAATTGCTCTCAACATGTTTTCGCTTGCTCACCAGCTGGAATATTAATCCGCCAATACAGTAATCAGTTCTAGGGCTTAAATCCATTCCCATTTGAGTAATATCAAGAAAGTTGTACTATTCAATAATTTTCCAAGTTTAATATTAAATTTGTTAGTCATTTTAACAATTATTTAACATAATTGAAGTACTGTACAGGAAACTAGTTTTTAGTGTGCCAAACAACCACTTGACTCACCCAGCATGGCTTCAGTTTGTATCTCTGGTCAGTGGAGGTAACATCTTGCTGAGACTCTCTTGAACATAAACTATTTTTATGTTTTTACAGTACAATTATTGGTCATTCTGAAATTTATTTTACATATTGACAATATATAGTGCAGTGCAGTGTTGATTTAAAGAAAATAATCTTGACTTACACCTAGTGAACTTAAAATTTTATGGGTGAAATGACGGCATGAAGCATGGGGTGATTTCTCTTCCACCCCCACTTCCTTCTCTTCTCCCTTCTCCTCCACCCCCACTTCTAATTCCCATCATCATCATCATCAACCAGTAGCCTTCTACATACACACCTCAAAGTAAGTGTACTTTACTGCATTTATTTTTAATTTGTATGTAATTTTCGGTGAGCTGGAACCAATTACCCAAAATCCCATTGAAACAATGGTTTCGGTTAACGAACGACCTTCTGGAACGAATTGTGCTCGTTAACCGAGGGACCACTGTACTGTATTTCCATGAATTGTTGCAGACAATTTCTCTTTGGATAGGAAGGAGCAGATTTCCCGAGAACAATATTGGATGCTAGCTGAAAGTCCAACCAACTCTTTCCTACTGCATTAGAGATCTACCCTTGGAAATAGTACGGTATCTAAAACTTAAGTTTTCTAAATTGGCTAGGAGACTAGCATTAAACAAGTTTATGATTCATTTCTTATCATGGGCTGACAGTTTACATATGATTCTTAGATCTAATTCAGATGCTAAGTTAGTGCATTACTTGCTGGTATACAAGTTGACCTGGCACATAAGTTGGCATCTACTCTTCGATCAAAAGCTAATGCTTATGACTATATTTGCCCCGAAGCTATGTTGTAATATATACTGGTAACAAATAATTACAATAATATAACATGGGATGCAGCATAGTGATTCAAACTATCTGAGATGATCTGAGTCAGGCCACCTACTGGTAACTTTACATGACTCAGGTCTGGTCCTAAGGAACTCTCCCTTTCCCCAGTACCAATCAGAGGCAGCTGTGATGCCAGGCTACTGTCATCTAGTCCATTTAAAAGGCTCCTTCCAGCCTTCCTCACTCCTTCAGAGCCAGGCTCCTGATATATAATAACTGCTAGACTGACTGTCAAGCAAAAAGAGTGAAATCGGAAGCTGACATGTAGTTATATATTGTACTGTAGCATTTGTTCAAAGTATGTAACCTATGGTATCAATATAATGTAAAACACTCATACAGTAAACCCTCGATAAATCAGCACATATGGGGCTCTGGCATTGCCGAGTTTCTTGGTGGAGGCATGGGAGCAGCTGTCTATGGCAATGATTCGTCACGCATGGCGGCATGTGTTGCAAGGTATCCCAGGTGGGAGGTAGAGTCAACCTGTGACTGGTGAGGTTCAGTCTGTTGCAGTGGCAGTGGACCTTGCAAGAGAAGCTGCGCAGAGTGTTACAGCTGCAGGCTTCTCCGAGACCACCAACGACGACATTATGGAGGTGATAAGGGATCCTGAGGTGACTGTCGACGAGATTTTAGAAGATGACGAAGTCAGTGAAGAGGCAGGTGGTGTGTCATCCCGAGAAAAACACAAGTTAACGCATGGTAATGTTAAGGATGCCATCGAGTTTGCAGAGAAACTCAAGCTCGTCCTTTCCAACGACCCTGTCGATCACCGCTATGAAGTCTTCAATAACCAGCTGTTGCAGACTATGGAGCCGTACATCCAGATGTATCACGACAACGTCAACACTAGCCGTCAGCATAATATCACGGGCTTCTTCGCCCGCAACCCACCACAGCCAGCCCAAGCCAGTGATAGCGACAGTGATGCTATGGACTTTGAGGGATTTGTCAGGGAGGCCCTAACAACTATGGTGGATAGTGATGGTGATTCACTTGAGGGCCAGTAATCTGCCCTCTGCCTCGGAACCAGCCCGTCAACGTATGCCGACCCATCTCTTCTACTAACGTATGTGTTAAACCTAACCTAACATAAGTGTTAAACGTTGATTTTTTCTAACCTAACCTAACCTTACATAAGTGTTAAACCTTGATTTTTTCTAACCTAACGTACGTGTTAAACCTTGATTTTTCTTTAACCTGGTACAGTATAGTATTCTCTTGTTGATATTTCTCTTCTACATTATGTGAGTGCGCATACCATCATAAAGTAAAGATACTATTTTTACTACAAAGTACGTATTGTGTCAGAAAAAGTGGAGTTTGGGGGTCAACCCAGTCTCTATTTCAATTAATCCCATATGTTCTGTTATTTCATTTACGTGTTTCTCGTTTTACACGGTACTCCACGGGTTCAATTGACCACGTAAATGAAGACCCAACTGTATGAGGACATAATATACACAATCCCCCCCAAGCCATCGCTGAAATAAAATTTTCTGTCATTCTTTTCCGTTCTTGAGACCAATTCCTAACACCTGGTACAGTAATGGAAACTGTCTGTAAGGCAAGCTGAGTTACTTACCATGACATGGAGTTCTTTCTTTAGCATGACCTGGAATTTGTCAGCCCTAATGACAGAAACAAGCTGCTTTGGATCCAAAATTGAATTGAAATAAATGGAAAACCATTGAAACAAAATGTAATGGGGATCAAACTTACCCTAGTATTAATAAAAAAATGAGAGGTGTGAGGAGAATTTGAAAATTAAAAAAGAACAATGAGGCTGAGGTGCAAAAACTTTGCTCCAAAATGAAGAATTATAGTTGCCAAGGTGTGTACAGCAGCAGGGTTTAGCAACAACTGAATGGATTGATGCCTATTTTTACAATGTGGATGACACAAAAGTCAAGTGAACTGCTTGCATATCAGTGTGATGTCAAGACCCATTTTTCTTCAGTCCTTTTGGTAAAATGCTACTTCTAATTATCCATTTTTAAGGAATATGGTTGTAAAGGAGAGGTTTAACTAACCAATGAACTGGTTGCAGCCTCTTAACCCGTTACAGCTGATATACATATCAAGTGTATCTCTAGTGTGATTGCTTTTCTCTTGGCTAATTTCCATGTATGGTACATCCACAGTCAAAGGGTTAATCCAAGGGATCTTTAACCTGTGGACTGAGAAAGGTTAATATTCAAGTCACTTAGTGCAGGGTCTAAGGTCATAAATAAACATCATTCAGATAAAGGAGAAAGAAACAATTACTGAGAAGAAAAAATTGGTAGGTTCTTGAACCATTTTCAATGGTGTTAAATATTAATATTATTTTTTGAACAACACAGCAGTCATCCATGCCCACACATACTACTGTACAATAATCATGTCTGCACACTCATCCTCCTGAGCATACTAATGTACAATAATATCCCTTTCATTTCCAATGAAGAATCATAAAAACTAATGATCTATAGTGCAGAAAATAAAACTGTCTTTTTTAAAATACTTGGTTAAAATAACATTTTTAAAAATTCTAAGCAAAAGTTAATCCAAAAATAATGTATACTGGGAAGGAAGAGAGACACAGAGAACAACTAAACTTCAAAACACTTTAACAGGGCTGACATGAAATGTTTACAGGCACTGTAGGAATGTCTAAATACTTCTTGAAAACAAAACTTTTTAATCAGGATAAATTTTGTCTCTCTTCTTCATCCAGCACCTCCTGGTCCTCACTCTCATCTAAATATTCCGTCTGATCTCCTGAGAAAAAAAGAAAAAGCAAGTAATGTATATATGCAGTACAGTATATGAATTAAGGAAAGGTTTAAATTTAATCATTTAGCTACCGTATATCTCGGCTTATAAGACGAAATTTGAACATTAAAAAAATCTGCCCAAAGTTAGGGGGTCGTCTTAAGCAACAAATATAAAATTCTTACATCTTAAATATTGCGGTTTACTGTGTCAGAGTGGTGATGGAAACATCGTAAGCCACTCACAAAGTCCTACCAGTAATTATTTTATACTGAAACTTACGTTTGGCAAGCTGGATTCAAATTAAGATTACCGGTATATTAAAATAATAAAAATGTATTATAAACCTGTCTAACACCGTAAAAGAGAATTATACCCCTGTAATAAGCACAGCTATCATCACACACCCCTCCCCACGCCGCCCCCCCCGCCCCCATTTGCCAGTGAGGAGACAAGAAAGGGAAAGTGACCGCGAGATTGGGCTATTTTTAGCCATGGAGGTGGTCAGTAATGCATATCGGTATATTTACTGATAATAATACTTCTCCTATAAATAATTAATTTAAAATTTATTTTTTTACAAGGAATATTCAGTAAATGACTGCATTAATTCTTGAAACTACTGACAGTTAAATACAGACGCTTAAGTGACGTCACTCGTGTTTACACTACACCAGCTGGTAACATTTGATGCCATTACTTGAAGTGAATTGGCCTTATTTTAAGTAACTAACCATAAATAAATAAAAAAAATAAAAAAAAGATCAAAAGTGAGAAATAATATATTGTATGTATGTTGTGTTGTCAAAGTTAGAGGAACAATTCAAACTGCAATTGTGTGTAAATGAGGCAGAAAGTCAGGTCAGCGCTGAACCTGGGACTTGATCACAATTTTCGTGATGCCATATGGCAGCAGGGTCTACCATTAGACAACACATTATGCTTCCAATATCTTCCCAGGCGGTAGTATCTACCTGTTTGGTAGCTGCCTACTACCTACACAATTTTTAGTAATATTACTTTGATACATGATAAATTAGACAATGAAAATAAACATCAAATTTAATTACCAAGATGCTTCCCATTGGCAGCTGTAAGAAGAGGGGGAGATGGGCCATTTATAGCCCGTCTTTGTGTCTAAAGTGACCAGTACCCTAATGCACCATAGATAATTCATTTAACATTTATTTTTTGTACATATATTTTGTTGTATATATATATATATATATATATATATGTATATATATATATATATATATATATATATATATATATATATATATATATATATATATATATATATATATATATATATATATATATATATATATATGTATGTATGTATGTATGTATGTATGTATGTATATATGTATGTATGTATGTATGTATGTATGTATGTATGTATGCATGTATGTATGTATGTATGTACAATCCGAAAGGGATGATGGATTAGTTGGAAGTGTATCCGTAAAGAAAAACAAATATTTACTTTATATGTTACGTCAATGTTTGGCAACTATAGTTTCCGTCACGACAATATTCTCATTAGGCTGGGTCGGGGAGTGAAGCTCTGCTCACTACATTGAATATTATTTATCACTACGCGTCAAAGAGTACATTACAAATCATACTAGCATAAACACACACTGAGTGAAGCTCTGTAATTATCTCAATATTAAGTAACACTAACCACCGATTTCGAAGCATAACTCACGGGACAAAACATATGGGGATTGGTGGTCACACTGGACGGTGCGAGGCGGGGCGGGTGAGGCGTAGTTAAGTGTAGTGGGGAGGAGCCGAGGTGTGGTTGATCGGGCCAGGCCGGGGCTTTGCGGGGCGGGGCACGGAACGGCGGGGCGGGGCAGGGATGGGAGGAAGGGTAAGGAGGGTGAGGTGAGGATTAGGACAGGGAGGAGGATGTAGGTTAAAAGACATATATGTATGTATATATATACTGTACATATATATATATATATATATATATATATATATATATATATATATATATATATATATATATATATATATATATATATATATATATATATATATATATATATATATATATATATATATGTTTGTGTAATAAATGTATGTAGTAAGTACATACCGGTAACCTTTTTCACTCAAATCCTAATGAAACACCACAATTAGAATACGGTGGTTGCTGTTGAACCACCTGTTGTATAAATAGTCGGAACACAGTCACACCACCGAGACGAGGGAACACTCCCACCACCGATCGTCTCGTGCGAAGCAAGCGTATAAATGAATATAAATGAAAGAAAATACTTGCAGTGTGTTTAATATGTTACAGTATATTATAAATAAATAAATAAACAAATAAATCGGTAAATCCATTTCAAGTAAATGGAAAAATTTTACTCGACACCGACATTAGTTCCAGTAACCGGTAAATAGCAGACGCTTCAGTGACGTCACTAGTGTTTACACTACACCAGCGGGTAATATTTGATGACATTACTTGAAGTGAATTGGCCTTATTTTAAAAAACCAAGGATGGTTGGTAAAGGACTACTGAGTCAGTGGGTAAGTGTCACATTTGGGGTACTGGTCTTATACAGCAAATAGAGCTCAAAAGCTACTTTTTAAATGGAAATTTAGGGGGGCCGTCTTATGCACCCCGACGCCTTATAGGCCGCGATATACGGTAGTTAAATGATGATTAAAACTACAGTACTTTGCATGAGCCAAAAATCAGACAAGGAAAATATTTGGATCACTATGACTTCTGGTTTCCAACATTGAGGTCACTGAAGTTTGACCTGACTTTGCTTTGATCTTTTCTTGTTACTAACAATACAGGTGCTCTTCAACTCCTATTAAAGGTGGTCAATATTTTTACATTTCCTCAATTCTGAGAAGGCATTTGACAAGGTACCAGGTGAAGTGAGCTATGAGAAACTTAGGGGGTCAGGAGTGTCTTGTTCAAGTGGTTATGGCATTGCATTAGGCTCAAGAAGCTCGGTGAGAGTAAATACACAAGACAGGAAAATGAGGAATTGGAGGTGAAAGTACAGTAAACCCTAAACAAAATCTGGACAGTTTGGGGGGAAAGGGGGGTCTGGACTTACTGAATGTCTGGACCTTTACCAAGTTCTTTTGGGAGGTTCTGGAGGATACTGTACATTGAGCTGTCACTCATTAGCCCCCCCCCTCCCCATGTCCCTTAAATTTTTATTTTAATATGCAATAAATGTCATGTGTTTCTTTTTAAAATTTCCCTTTATTTTAAATGACAAATTTTACAACATATTTTTCAATTACATATTTAATACTGTATTTTATATTATTTATGATGAAATGTACACCATAAGAGGCTGATCATGCTACCCTCCATAATTGTTTAAGGAAATAAGAACAAGAATAAGAAATAAGGTATGAGAAATAAGAAGAAAAATAAAGCTAAAGAAATATAGGAATTGAAGAAAAAATAGAAAACACAGATAAGAAAGAAACATTATGTCTGTGGGAAAAAAGTAAATTGGCCTGATTAATTAATGATGTCACAGTGAAAGGGTTAAAAAAGAAGCAAGTTTCTCTAGGCTTTAAGCATCATGACCATCGCTGATTAATTGAATTTTTCTTATATTTTGGGCAATACAGAACGCCCGGATAATTCGCGGATTTTTATTTCGCGGAAGACACCCTGGACATACCCAAAAATATCTGAGTATTTTTTAAAGTTGCTGGCATTTTCGTGGCCGGTACGGAGAGCGCGCGAGTTCTGTGGTGTCCTGCAAGGTGTCTCTGTTGTCCCAGGCGGCTGAGCCAGCGCACACTCTGCCCCAGTCAGGGTTAAACACTTGTCCGTCTCGTGTGGGTGCTACTCTGTTCTCTTAACAACTGTGCTCCTGGTGCTTGTATGGCTCCCATACGCCTTCAACCAACTCCAGCCAGCCGCGTGAAGGCACCCAACAAGTGAAGAGAGAAAAGAAGGTCATGTTAAGACTCATGTATGTCTTCCATACACAAGCCTGGCTACGCCTAACAACGGAAGCGAGTGAAAGGAGTGACTGCTGGTTAGTGTGCCGTCTGCAGTTGTAACTCCTCGCTTCCTGCCATATTTCACTGGATTTACTCTTATTAATAGTGTTTACTGATAGAATAGTTCTTAACCCTTTGGCCCCGGGTGACGTTCCAGAACGTCCGCCTATTTTCCCGCCATTTTTATTTATGGAAAAGTTGATTTTTTCCTAGATTTATCCCCGGAGGGGGGTTCTGCCAGCAGCACCCTAGCCCGAGGCTTAAGGGATAACAGTGATTAATCATGTCATTGTAGCTAGGTTAGCTCATCAGTGTAACCACCAGGCTACTGGGCCAAGCTGTGAAGTGTTAAGATTTTTTCAATTTGTACCTTTGGATAGATATATGTAACCTTCATTTACAGCTCTTCCCCGACTTACGACCTGCCTCAGTCGTACCAAAATTTTGTCAAATTGCGTATGTTCGAGTCCCAACTTCAGTGATTGCGCTGTGTACTGACAAAATTTTCGTTTGTAATTCACTTTAAAATGGATGGCAAGCTTAAAAGTGAGAGTTTTGTGGTGCTGAGAAGAAAAAGAGACACCCATTTTAGATTTTCTATGTACTGTACTGTATTATTTAAGCATTTTCAACTTACAACCTGGATTTGGGTCCCTAACCCCGTCGTAAGTTGGGGAGGAGCTGTATGTATGTATGTATGACTTTACACGATGTCCCAGGAACGTAACCCTCGCATAAGTTGAGAGACTACTGTATATTGGAAAATTTTGATAATTTTGGTAGCCCGCGACATAAAAAAAAATCGTTATATAAAATCGCTATATATCCCGACCCTACTGAACAGGTAAAAAAAATAATTGTTCTTAGGGCAAACCCACAAAGAGAATATGCCTTTCTTTGTACTTAAGTACAAATGTAACCCCACTGGTCAGCAAACTAAGTGGGGAGAAGATTATACTAATACTACAAGATATTTCAACAGTGACAGTGCAAAAAGGCAAGACTGGCTGAGAGTGAATACATACACTGGTAGATTACGAGTTGTTGATAATTTTTTTAATGGTTGGGACAGGGCTGTTCTTATAGTGTGTGTTTGTGTCTACACACACACATATATACAATACAGGTAAAAGAAATAATTGTCCTAAGGGCAAACACACAAAGGGAATATACTTTTCTTTGTACACAAGTAAGAATGCAACCCCACCCCCCTCGGCGTGGTCAGCAAATGTTATTCACGGATTTGGCGATTTGCAGCCATTTTGAAAAACTAACCCTCGCGAATTTGAAGGGCATGCTGCATTAGTGTTTGTTTTTTTGTCAGACTTGGCAAGAACAATATCTCACAGTCTTCTGGATGAACTGATATTGACTGACATTGCAGAATTAAGGAACTACAAGAATTCTTCCCTTGTGTCTTGAAACAAGCGCAGTGTTTACACCTGAAACCAAAGTACCGATGTACTTAACTTAAATTTTTTCAAGATTATTAAACAGTTTCAGAGTTCTTTTTGGTCACATAAAGCAAGATGAATGGCTCACCTTCCTGTAGATACCTGGATATCGACAGACATTCCAGAATTAGGGAGATACAGTCCAAAAGATATACTGTATGAACTCTCTTCAAGCAAGTTCTTGGAAAGGCTAATGTGGTGTGTATTTTATCAGAATGGTTGCAGGCATTTATCCATTTATCACAATTCTTTATTTCTGGGAAATCTGTAATACTTGATGTGCTCTCTGCTTGGGATTTGGGCATTGCTGGTGCACACATATACATATTGCACAAATACAGTGTTACCATAATTGTTGATACACTGGTCCCGGGAGCAGCCGTGGGCACACACGGAGGTCAGCAGATGATGCATGTTTACACCAGTGATATCACAGAGCTGTGCTTTATGTGTAAAAGAAGTGCTTGGTGAACTATCCTTACTAGTATATTATCCTTGGGACAGCTCACCACCTCCCACTCGGTAATCCTCGATCCCTTTATAATGACAGCAGGCAATTTCACCGTAAATCCCATATTATTTCGGTTCATTTGGTGCAGGGTTAATAAAATATTATAAAAAAATATTTAATTTTACCGAAAAATTCAACACTCAATCCCAGATGGGCTATTGCGGTCTCTTGTTTTCAATACAGAGCGGTATCAGTTGATCGTTCCTGCTCTCCCTAACAATGTTGCCAGCACTCACTGGATTTTCGGTAATTCGAGTGATCCAGAGCTCCCTTTTTGTCAAATTAACAAAAAAATAAATAAATTATCACTAAATTAATGCTATACTGCTACCTGCGCTACCCATTGATTTCCGTGTAAGCTACAACTATGGTCACATTTCAACCAATCACGTAAGCGATAACCATGCAGGCGAAACCTACGTAAAGTGAGACACCACTGTACAAACATTTTGGAAAATAATTTTCCATCATCAGGGCCTAGAAACAGTCACAAAGTTATAAAAATTACGGTTAATATACAATATAAGAAAAAAATATTCTAATCTTTACCTTTTGCAAAACCTTTCAAAGGTTTTGCAACCACTAAAAATGACGTGAGGCGTAAATACATAACTAAAATATGAACAAACTAAAAGCATACAGGCGGTATTACCATGTACCTTAATTGAGCCGAGCCTTAATGAGAAAAACACAACAGTTCACAGGAAGCCATACCACAAATGGATGGCTTTACTTTGTATTGATACAAGGCTTCCATCATGAGGAGGTCTGTTTTACAGTTGGTGGGTGTGGGTGGTAACAGATAGCTGAATGAGGTGGTTGTGCGATTAATTGGTGTGTTCAGATTGAATGGCCAAAGTGCTCATGGATGTGAGTTTTCAAGTGTCTTTTTTTTGTTTTACCTATATATGCTGCCCTACCGCTACCACACGTAAATTGATAAACAACTGAGGATTGCAAGTGTGTAGGCTTTGAAGACTATTCTGAGGGAAATTTGTGGATAGATTTAAGGAGAAGCTTCTTAAGTTTGTTTCTAAGGGTGAAACTGAGTGGGCCTGTGTACAGGATGGTGAAATAGATAGAATATTTAGGAACAGTGTGGATTTGAGGCTGTGTGGGACCAAAAAAAATCATATTAAGGGTTTTGCCTGTATGAGTACGTATCTGTAAATTTCTTCTCTTAGGGAAACCATTTTCAAGGAAACTACTCTCTAATATATTAAGTGGAATAAACAGCACAAGAGAGCTGAAACTATTAAAACTTTATACTGTACATACTGTGAAATAAGTCCTTCAGGGCGGAGGAATTCGTAGTCTGCAGGAAAATATCCGTAAGGTGGTTGAGGACTATAGAAGCACTACGAACACACGTCAGTCTAACCTGTAAGTGTACACATTTATGCTGAAGTCTTCTTACATATACTGTATTGTGAATGCATAGTGAGAGTACAGTGGAAAAATTAGCACATATTTTATATTAATTTAATGCCGAGTCCAAGAAATAACAGCATCAAAGATAGTATCCAACATAGCATCAATAACCCTCACCATTTAAGAGTTTCCATCATTCCAATTTTCTTAAGCTTATCATCAAATTTAGAGCGAAAAGAAGAAGAAAAATTAGAGTAGGTAAAAACATTGCTGCTGATGAAGTGACTGTTATGAGATCAGCTCATACAGTAAAACCTTGATAAATCAGACTTCAATATACAGGTGCTCTTCTAGTTAAGAACTTACAAACTTTCAGAGATAAAAACATCATCATTGAGGGGGGTTACCTGCCAGAACAGGTGTTTAATGTGGATGAGACTAGATTATACTGAAGAAAATTCTAGAAAGAACATACATTGCCTAAGAGGAGAAGTGTGAGCCAGGTTTTAAGGCTGTACTAAAGGATATACCTGTATATTAAACATCCATAATCTTTTCATTTTTTACAATACGTTTGGTATCTACAAGAATAAAGTTGGACTTACAAACAAGCCTCAGGAACATAACTCACTCTTAAGTAGAGGAGCACCTGTACCCGAATTTGCTTTTTTCGGACTCTGTGGGGAGCTCCAGACCACCCTTCTATTTACTAGAAATATTTTTAAAAAGTCAAGAAAATTACGAATCAGTCCGGATGGTTTGTGTGTTCATACATGTGTGGGTGTCACGCAGCATGTGCCTCAGTCTGAGTTCCACATTCATACACATCACCAGAGCGCTGCGCCTCACTCATTTACTGAAACTTTTAGTAGTTTATAACAAACTTTTTGTGCTGTGATGGCTTCCCTTACCCCATCAATGTTTTGTGTCTCTAAAGTAATATTAAGTTTGTACAGTTAACATTAAGTATAGTTTGCGAAGTGAAAAGAACCACATACAGTACTTATATTGTTTAAGTTGTTAATAGAAAATGATTACTGTACTATCCAGTTTAAAATTTAAGTGCCAAACAATTAACACACTGTTCAGTAAAAGTGTCTCAAACTACACTGTACCTGAGCATGATAAGTGCATCGTCTACTTTCATCTACAGCATCTAATAAGGTAAATAAAGACATCTTAGCAGTTTTATATACGAGTACAGTATATTGTTCAGTTTAACCCATAAATGATGGCTAGCATTTTATGTAGTGTGTATTGTCTTTAATAGGGATACTGCACAGTGGTCAAATCAGACTTGATATACTGTAGGCCGAACAAGAGCTAATAGGCATGAGAGATAACACTGCATTTGTAAACATGCTGGACATAGGGGGAGGGTACTGACCAATGGTGCATTTCCCAGTTTTGTTTTTATTTATTAATTATTGAATTTTCATATGACCAGCCTCTTATGGTGTATGTTTGATCATAAATAATATAGCATTAATTAAAAAATATGATATATTATATGTAATTTGGCTACAAAATAAAAGGACAAGCTGTATCAGAAGGTAATCTCTTCCTTAACCACTTCCCCCTCCCCCGACCACCATCAAGGCCAGCTTTGGACCTGACTACCACCGATTCATTATTATTATTTTCTACTATGATCAGCCTCTCATGACATACAATTCATCATAAATAATATAAAATCATTAATAACAAAATATATACAATAATACATAATTTGTATTTTGACTGGAGAATAAAAGGATACTGTATGTTGTATCGGAGATGGCGTCTCTCCCTCCCACAACCTAACAAAAATCATTATGAGAGAAGCCATTTATTATGATGATAAATACAATAAAGCAATGTATCAAGATCAAGTTATTTACTCTATCATTTTTATTATAAAATACTGTACTGGAGACTGAGACTTGATAGAGCTTGTTAAACAAGGAATGAGGATTTGAGTCATGACTTCCCAAACACAGGTGTCTGCAGATGGCTGTATTTCTCTAGTAACCATACAACAGGTTTATGGGCATGGGACATAATAGTGAGGGTGTGCATGTGTTGGCAGGCCTCATGACTAAGAACTTTCTGCTGCCCCACAGAAATTTCCACTAGTCCATAACTGTTTTCAAAATGTGTGGGGATATCTTTTAAAACTATTAATGGCAGAAACAGTAGCTCACAAATGGATACATCTGGTGTTGATGGAGTGAGATATGTGTGTGTGACATGGATGATGCAATATGCACTCATCTTCTGCTCTTCTCAGGATTTGCACTTCTACTATTTGTAATATGGGTAAGCACTTTACAGTAAGAAACAGTCATATCAGTGAAAACAGTTATCAACAACCAGACTCATATCTGATTTTCTGTAAACAGTTCAGATAAGCAGGGTTATGTCTGGACCCCAAAGCTCTGCATGTGATTTTTATTTATTTATTTATTTTTTTTTACATTTGCCAGACCGGGGTCTGCCCCAATTAGTTTGGTTTATCAAGGTTCTACGGTAGAAGAACAATTTAGCTCAGAATTGTTATTAGCAGAATTTCCCAAATTTGATAACTATTTGTTGTGACAGTGTTGCCTACCAAGCTGTTGTCACTGTATCATCTGCATTTGTCAAAGAGTCTAAAATTCAATCCCTTATAAAAATGGGTCCTATAGACCAGGTGGCCATTAGGGACAATTATGATACACTACACCAAGGAGGCAGCATGGTTGGCACTTCACTTGATTACCTTCACTTCCCCAACTGCAAAGTCTAATATCCATTTAATGTTTGGACAGGTGTGGGTTATATTGGTTTGACCACCGCACAACTTGTAATATACCTTAACTTTACAACACCTGTTTCACCACAAGTCATCATCACCACTCTTGCTACCTAAAATAAATGTAGCTATGGTGTGCTGTTTATTTATTTCAACAGTCACTGTATTCCATAGCCAAAATTCCTACATTGAAATGTGGTAGTAACTGGTAATTAAATATGGAAATTGGTGATTACAGAAATCAACTTTGATATTACTGTTATGATGATCCATAACAAATTAAATTTAATCTGCTGTTTTTTCTTCATATTACTGAATGGAGTAGAGATTCTTAAGAAAGTGACAGAAGTAATACAATGGCTTCCCCCCCCCCCACATCATGTTATCATGGGGACACTATATAGAAGGCAACATGAAGGACATTTGTTTCACTGGACCAACACCAATGGCTACAGTTTGGAAAATTAAATTACAATACTGTCACAGAGATGAATGTTTCATGTGACATGTGAAGATTGAGGCACAATATCAAACTCATTCAACTAGCTTAAAAAACTTATGTATTTAAGGGCAAAACTAAATAAATTAATAATAATTACACGCTTTTCATTTACTGTCTGTCTTACTGAACACTATTATATCACTTTCCATCACCAAGAGACAGGAGGAAAATTTCATGTCTGGACATTTACAAGGTAGTACAGGGAGTTGGTGAATCTGCATAAAACAATCAAATAATAAAACTCTTCTAGTGTTCATCTTATATAACATCAAGAAAGCTCACCTTGCCATCACTGTTTAATGTGAGACATGGGGTATATAGCTGGTGCAGGTGAATGTGTGAGGTAGGAAGATACATCAAGTCTGAAGCTAAGTTGTCCATGCAAGAGAAAAATTCTTGCAGTTCAGCGATGTTCATTTCATCACGACTACTATCCACAATGCTGAAAAATCATGAGGTAATTAGATTTTTTGTTATTATAACCAAGAGAAAATGAAGGACTGATGCATGAAATCATATTTTCTGGATGAGCAGAAGAAATGAGTAACCCAGCAGACATCAGTGCAAGGAATATACAAGTAGCAACACAACTGTTCAGAACAACAGTCAGCATATGACACTAACCCAACATGGCTTATTTTAGCTCATAATAAATTAGTTCAAGTAAAATTATCATACTTATGATATGCTTTCAGTAAATTCAGTTGGTCTTTACTTAAAGTGTTAATAGATGTCGCTGAAGTTCTAGATTGTAGAAACTTTCAGAGTTGCATAGAAGATTTTTTAAGGTTGCCAATGTACAGTACAGTAGCTAAAAGATATATCTGTGCATACTCTGTGTGAAACAACATGAGGCCACGGATGATAGGTATTGGGATATGCGTGTTGTCTCCTTATACTATGTTATAGAAATCACTTAACCATTTATTTTAAGCTTAGCTTTTCGGCATATGTTTTCACCAAATTTCACGACACGACTTTTGTCTTTCATTGTACAGTACACATATATGGGTCGATAATTTTTATTGTTGTATTTTTGTAGGAGATGGGGGGGTGCCTCGATAAGTCGGAATTTGGGATAACTCAGTAAGGCTAGAGCCCTATATGTGCCGAGTTATCGAGGGTTTGCTGTGTGTGTGTGTGTGTGTGTATGTGTGTGCATTTGTGTGCGTGTGTGTGTGTGTGCGTGCATGTGTGTGTATTATAATAATCAATTAAAATGACACACACACATAGCCCATATTTGAAAAAATAAAAAATAAATAAATAAATAAAATGCTCTAAAACCATCTTCAGGGTGACACTGAGAGTGAACCATAGTTCTGTCAGTCATGCACAGAAATTGAATGCTAGCTTAGACCCCTGATTTATCATAACAGAGTGAAAACTTCCTTGAAAAATAACATAAGTGAAGGCAAAGATTCCTCTAAATGCAATAACATAAATTATGTGACTCAGCAGACCTAACCCTAAGTGCTATAAGATCAAGATGCAAATATTTGTCTTCTCTCCTTGGAGACAACATCTAAGTTGCCTGGAAATGGAGGATTAATGCCTAGAATCTAATAAACATGATACAATGACATGGGTTGTGTGCAGCTACTTTCTGTGGTGACCAATGATCCTTCTAATTTTTTACATCATGATGCAGAATGAATTTTGTTATGATGTGCACCAACAGCAGAAGCAAGAGAACTATACGAGTACAGTACAGAATAAAGGTATAGTATAATCACAAATGTTTTAAAGTTTCCACAGGTATGCAAAAAAAAACATGCAAAAACAAATGGATTATATTAAGTAAATGTGCAATAAGAAATGGACTGTTGTGCAGCCTTCCCACTAAAGTCAAGAATATCCTGGATCTCAAACACAACTTATGGAGTGTAGTTCAAAAACTGCTTAGTGGAGGGCATAGAAGGTGGAAATGTTAGATATGTATCTCCCACACTCTGTTTCTCAGGCCATAATGAATGTCAAGAAAATAAATGACACCTGTGGTTGAATGTTGAAATATATTTTGTAGACAGTAATTTAAATTATTTACTGCAGATCAAATTTGAATGTTTAGCTTCATTTTAAAGTACAAATTCTTGTTAAACAACTTATATTGTGGGTAGGATTATGCCTATAATATTTTCCAGAAAAGTTAACCCTACTAATGTACAATTTTGCTACCATATGAGGGATGAATATACAGTATCTAGGTGAGTTACATCAAAATGGCGGAATATATAAAAGATTGCAATGGCTGATGCTGGATTTCTGTTGTTTAAGTAAAATCTGATGTGGTTTGAAAACATACCAGTGGTTATGAGATACTGTATATGACTAGAATATATAAGTTGTAACCGAGTAAAGTTCACTCCAGGGAACACTACTTACCATTCCCAGATATGATGGACCTCTTTGAGAGAAATCTTAAGAACAAATTTTGGTTTTCCTCTTTCATTTGGAGAAGAAAATTTTTGTCCACTTGGTAGACGGACATGATAGATGAACTGCACCTGATGGTCTGAAACACAAATGATTGAAAACCATTACCAGATTTTAGTCACACCAAAACTCAGAAGTTTTTGACATCCATGGAAGAAGTAAAAGTCTCTTCCATAAAAATAGAGAAATGATCTGGAAATTGCATTTAAAGGGTAACCCTAGATAGAGCTAATTGTGTAATACAGTGGACTCACGATAAATCAAGAAACACAAATCTGCGAGTACGGTACCTCTATTTCTACACTTTAAATTTTGCTGTCCAAAATTCATAATTTGCAGCTGAGCACTGAATACCAGTGTTTAATTACATAGAAAACCATTAAAGTTGTCAAATTACCATTTCAATACTCCAATAAGAATTAGAAATACACTCACCCCTTAAACTACACGGGTTTGAACATTGAGGCCCTCGCCCCTCCACAGATTGCACTGCATGTTGCTTGGGAAGCAAAGGAGGTTGCGTACATGTGTCGCATCTGACAACTTCCACTTCTGGCCGCGAGGGGTCTCTACAGTGACGTGGAAGAGTTCCACGCTTCCTCACCCTCTTTTTTACCCGCACTGCCAGCCCACGAAGAGCTCAGTTGTTTATGTATCCATACCGTCTTCCCTACTGCCTCACCATGCCTTGTAACTGCCCTACTCCTGCTGGAGGCTCTAGTGGCTTGACTACCAAAGTGAGGAAGGTGCTTGCCACCCTCAACTATCTCTACCATCATTAAAGACAAGGCAAAGTACAAGGCAGTTACTGGCAAATGTGTGTCTCCCTCCTTGATGGCAGTAATCAGGATGGAAAAAATTGAACGGTTGTTAGTCGTGTGGATTGACGACAACAGGCAGAGGAACTGTCCCTTAAAGAAACCACCTGAGGCAAGATGGTCGAAAAAATAAAAATAATTTTTTTTTTTTTTTTTTTTAATTTTCAAGAGCTTTGTGCGCCCTTCCAGTAGCCACTCCCAAAATATCAAAGTTATTTACGGAGATTTGGCAATTAAATGGACAGTTAAATGCCACCCTCATGTGCATGCTCAAGGTCATTCTGATGCGTATGAACAATCTCTAGTAAAATATTCATAGAAAATAAACTAGAAAAGATAACTAACTTCTGTCCTCTCTGGTGCTATCTGGCATCTTTCTGGTAAGCCATTGAGATGTGGAGGGAGGAAGGTGGTGCTGGACTAGTATTCAAATGAGAGAAGTCAGTACGCTCTCGACTGTCGAAGCGGTCAGACGCACGATTCATTGCTCGTCGCAGCCCTCACCCCAGCACGCCTACTCAAAATATGATTTTTATAGCATATTCAGATGTCTCCAATATTTATGAAAATAAATATGAATAATTTGCTAATAAAAAAAAAAGCAATTCCAACAATACAGTACATTAATTATGTTGATAACTATAATTTGCAAGAAAATTCTTCATGGCATGGCAGAGAAATATAAAAATAAAATTTCTTGAAATTTAAATTTTTTTCATAATAAAAAACAAAATTCCTGACCAAAATGCTTGAAACCTGGATATAATCAATACTGTATAGATATATATAACAAATAAAAATCTTGAAAATCGGATAAATAAAATCGATATCCTTGGGCCAAACAGTGATCATGGAGCGTCTCTGGCTTTCTTTGAGGGAGGCAACCACCTCCTCCTTCAATACTCCTGAGTTCACTGCCAGCTGGGGATGGTTTGACAGGTTCAGGAAGCATGCAAACCTGCACATCATCGGGTTAGCTGGGGAAGTTGCAAGTGCTGACCAGGAGGCTGCAAGCATGTTTCCTGATGTACTGAGTGATGGGATACAGCGTCGAGGTTTTACAGTCAAACAAGTTTTCAACATAGATGAAACAGGATTATACAATTTATTTATCATTGGCACAGCATAGACTTACAATTCACGGCCTTCGATTATTTGCAGATGACACCCTGGATGTACCCAAGAACGTCTGCGGTATTTTTAAAGTTGGCAGCACTTTCGTGGCCGGTACGGAGAGCGCGCGAGTTCTGTGGTGTCCTGCAAGGTGTCTCTGTTGTCCCAGGCGGCTGAGCCAGCGCACACTCTGCCCCAGTCAGGGTTAAACACTTGTCCGTCTCGTGCGGGTGCTACTCTGTTCTCTTAACAACTGTGCTCCTGGTGCTTGTATGGCTCCCAAATGCCCCCAACCATCTCCATCCAGCTGCGTAAAGGCACCCAACAAGTGAAGAGAAAAGAAGGTCAAGACCCTAGTGGAGAAGATACAACTGCTGGACAAACTTAGGAATGGCCAGAGTTTTGCCGCGTGTGGCTGCGAGTATGGCATTAATGAGTCGACTGTCTGTTACATCAAGAAGAAAGGGAGATTCATAATGCCGTTGCCCTAAGTGCCCCCCCTTCTGCCAGGGTAGCCGCTAATGTGAGGGATACAGCTATGGTGAAGATGGAGAAAGCCCTTAACATCTGGATTGAGGACTTTAACCACCGCCACATCCCTCTCTGCCAAAAGTTTATCCGTGACAAAGCCAAGGTCCTGTATGACTGATTCTATGCTGAGGATGGTGGTGAAGGTGAAGTGAGTGGTGAAGGTGGTGCTAGTGCTGGTGGTTCTGGTGATACCACAAGAAAGAATTTAATGCCAGTAAGGGGTGGTTTGAGCATTTCAAGAAGCACTACATCCTGCACAACTTGAGGATTACTGGTGAGTCAGCCTCAGCGGATGATGTAGCAGCTAGGGAGTATCCAACGATCTTCTCCGAGATTATCCGGGAGAAGGGCTACAAGCCGGAACAGGTTTTCAATGCTGATGAGGCAGATGAAGAGCACTTGTAACTCCCCTGCCTTCATTTTCATCATCACTCATCATACTCATCAGAGGCAGGGTAGAGAGGAATAGACTCCACAAACAACCAGCAAGGAATGGTGAGTATTGCTCTATTTTTGTATGTACTGAACTTACTCCCCCCCACCCGCAAACGATATTCTCAGGTTTGGAAATTCGCTGGCATTTTCAGGCCCAAACCCCTGCGAATTTCAAGGGTATACTGTACTGTCTTAGAGCAATTTTGTTAAGGGGAGAGTCCGGCTGAAAAAAAGATGAAAATCAGAAAATTACGAAAATAGTATACAGTGATATCCCCGTTAGCCGGAACAATTGGTGCAGACCACTTCCAGGGAGGAGAGATTTCCGGCTAACCAGACGACTTTCTCAAACCCGGAAAATTCCTCATCCCCAGAATATTTTCCGGTTACTGGGAAAAGTTTCAGTGTTTAAAACTAGACATCTTGCACACACAGACACTAGCCCACTTCCGCAGAATGCTTTCCATGAGTCTAAACTACCGGAGTCCGTGAATGCAGTTCTAATTTAGTTAGAATCTCTATTGCTTTACTATAATAATCCAGAATAGTTTATCTAAAAGTCCGGTAAAATAAATATATTAGAAAATTGAAAATCTTTCTGATATGGACGTGAATAAAACTGTGTGTTACAGCAAAGACAGGTATTTTCCACTCCCACGGAGGTGTGGGGGATTAGTGGGTCTCGTGTACCTGACCTTACACAATGTCAGGTGGAGGTAGGGTGGGGGATTAGTGGTCTCATATTACTGACCTTCTGATGGAATATCAGGTCACCCTTTCTTGGCCAGGGCATTAGTGGGTCTCATGACCTGAAGATGTCTCCAATAAACACTAAACCTAAAGTATCTTTCGAGAGATTGTGATAAGTATAAGTATAAATGAGCAAAGTTGTATCCCTTCAACATTATGTTACATAACATTTTAAAATATGGAGTGAGAAAGAAGAAAGGAGTGGAAATAAGTGTTGCCAAGCACTCCCCAACAGCTGGTATTTAACTCATAGTCACACACACGCAAATTTGTCACACAATAAGACCCTCACTCCTTATGTCTGCTGTCTTAATTCCCTTGTTAGGGGTATGTGAGTGGTGTTGGAGTGCATGTGGGTGTGATGTTGGGATGTGTGTGGGTGTGATGTTGGGATGTGTGTGGGTGGTTGTTGGAGTGAGTGGGTGGTTGTTGGAGTGTGTGGGTGGTTGTTGGAGTGTGTGGGTGGTTGTTGGAGTGTGTGGGTAGTTGTTGGAGTGTATGGGTGGTTGTTGGAGTGTATAGGTGGTTGTTGAAGTGTGTAGGTGGTTGTTAGAGTGTGTGGGTGGTGGTTGGTGTGTGTGTGTGTGTGTGTAATGTAAAATATGTTGGTGTGTAATGTTTGGCTGAAGAGTGTGGGAGTCAACCTTTTTGGGGGGTGAGGGGGGGCTGCAAAGTCACTTTTCTCCCCCCCTCCCCTCCTCATTCAAGCATGGCTAATTGTTGTAGGGAGATGAATTTGATACCATAATGATCCTTAATAAATTCTCTACGAAACATTTCCAATAAGATGTCCTTAAACAAAATATTTCTATATGATATAGTGATGGGAATTCCATTCTCTTATAAATAAAACGTTAGAAATGTTGATATCGGAGTCGGTAAAATCAGTTCCCATTTCGTTACACACCATTTTTTTTTGTATAAAAATAATCCTGAATACTTTATCTAAAAATCTAGTTAAATAAATATATTAAAAAAACAAAAGCTCTATATGATACAGGCGTGAACAGAACTGTTTCTTTTATCTTCACCGCTGATCGACTCGTTAATCGCTTGGGTGATCGGTCATGTCTTTGTTACACGCTTCACTCAACTGACTGTAATACATAACTGTAATAATGTCTTAACACTTGTGATGGAGGTTGGGTGGGAGATTATTGGGTCATGTTACTGACCTGATGCAACGTCAGGTCACCCAGTGTTGGGTGGGGGATTAATGGGTCTTATGACCTGAATATGTCTTGAATAACATTATTTTTTACCTTAAGGGTATATATACATAGTACAATAAATCCTCGCCTAACGTCGTCCCGCTTAACGTTGTTTTGGTACCACGTTGTTAAACTTTAAGAGACCAAAAATTTGTTTAACGTCCTGGTGATCCGATACTACGTCGTTTTGCATGGTCAAGGACTACTTTCTACTGTGCATC